AAAGCTTGAGACTTCGTTTTTTGATCTTGTAAGGTGCACAATATATCTCAAGCCAGTGATCCCCAACCTTTTTGGCACAGGGGACCAGTTTTGTGGAAGACAGTTTTTCCTGGGCGGGGTAGAGTTGGGAAATGGTTTTGGTTTCTCTCGCCGTTCACCTCCTGCTGTGCGGCCTGGTTCCTCTCTGGCCACAGATCAGTACCAGTCGTGGCTTGGGGGGTCGGGGTCCCCTGTTTTAGGACTAGTCCCCACTAGGGGTGCGAATGCTGAAACTGGGCAGCCAGGGGGGTTGGTCCCAGTCCATTCTCCATTTTCAACTTCAGATTTATTAATTGGAATAAATAATGGGAATACGTACTGTTCCCTTAAGATGTCAACATACAGAGATGACCCAAGGAGAATGGAAAAAAAATGTTTCATCAATTTTTTACAGCCCAACCTGAGCTGATGTTCAAGGTTTATTACCCATACTCCTCACTTCAGAAGAGCATAGAAGGTGCTGGATAAAGCTGGGGAGGCAGGTGGGCCTCATTCAGAACCCCTGGCAGCCCAGTACAGGCTGCTGCAAGTGCAGCAGAACCTACAGTGGGTCCTGTTTGGGAAGTGGTGCTGGAGACGGGCCCAAACGGGGCCGAAACAAAGATACTTTAATAAAGCACAGGAAGGAAACAAACTGAGTGAAGATCCTTTGGAGTTTCTAGAAAAGATCTTTAAAGCCTATAGGCATATACAGATACAGTCTCTGAGGCCCCAGAGAATTTAAAGATGGTTAACATGACTTTTATCAGTGCCTCTAACATACAAAGGAAAGTACAAAAGGTGGAAGGGCCTTTGGGTATGCCTATGTCTCACCTTGTTGAGATTGCCTTCAAAATTCCTAATGGCAGGGCCCAAGTTTAGGAAAAAGGAACAACAGAATGAGACAACAGGCCACTCCGCTGGCGGCTGCCTTAACACATTTGGTCCACAGAGCTGACCAAATCAAGGACCCCCCACGAGGGACTTGGCAAAAGGTAGGGGGCCCCAGGGCCTAAACTTCTCCTTGAATGGATAACTGATACTTGGCATCTCTCTGGGTTACTTTCAGTTCTTTGCATGGATAAAGCTCATTCTTGCCCCAGGACGTTGGTACATACTGTTCCCTTAGCCTCGTGTGCTTTTTGCTGCTATTCCGTCTAGTCATCTCCTACTCAATTCGAATGACTATGTCATTTCAAAGAAGACATGACACTTGTCTTACCTAAATCAGGTCTTCCTTCAAAACATGGAGTATTCTGTGGTGGTTCTCCTTTTCTTCCATTTGACCCTAAATTCCACAGGGGTGAGTAGTAGGTCAACTTTGTATATTCCCAGTTCTTGGCATGATTCTTAACACATAACAGATGCTCATTAAATTCCTAGTGAATGATCGTATCACTCAATCCTGGGATATCTGGATCAAGAACTAGGATGGAAGCAAGAGATTAGCTGTTCATTACAAGATTCCCGTGGTAGTAGAGGGGATGATTGTGAATGACAGGCTAGTTCTAGTACACACCTTGACTTCAGCAGGGCAAGAACAGTATAACAGTCTTAATGTAACCTCCTTAAAACGAACTAGGGCAATCTGGTATTTGTGTCTGCCTCCAAGATACTTAACACCTTCAAAGTTCTGGTCATTGCATATAGTAGAAAAATCAAGGCAATTTTTTAGAAATAAAAATGCTATTCCTGGCACTCTTCTGCTCTTTAAATCATACTAGTGATGTCTACTCCTCCTCCTGTGTATGTGATTATGCCTGTTTACATTCTAATTAACTGGAGCTACATATAGCCTTTCTGTCTATCATAGCTTAATTAGAGAGATCTCTAGAATTTACCGAGAGTCACCCACATGCTCATAACTGCTGAGTGCAGTTTCCTCACACTTAATTCTGTATCTAAATATATTTTATGTTTCATCTACCTGCAGGCTCTATGCAAATTCTCTTTATTTCCAAACTAGGCATAATCTCTTTCTGGCATCCATCTATTTGACAGTTTCCTCTGTCAGATCCTATTCTGGGTGCAGAATCAAAGAACTGAAAATGTCATAAATAAGCCCTCAAGGGCTAATAGTCTCATGAGGTTGTTTATGTCCATACACTTTATCAGCTTTTCTTTAGTTTCTTTTCACTTCCCTCTCACAGTGAATCAGACTTCTCAGACTCCTCTGGGCTTCTTTAAAAAGAAGAAAAGCTCATTGCAGACTTCATCCTAAGGTGATAGTGACCACTCCTATTTAGAGGGCTTTATCCCGGGTAGACAGCTCATATGGAGGGGTCTCTAGCCTTAAGAAATGAGTCCCAGATGGCAGGCTTGAAAGGTCAATGAAGTGACTTGGCCTGTGAAGTGACGTGGGCCTAAATCAGGGGTAACACTGAGGTTGCCTTGTCATGTGGAAGGAATCAGACTGACCCAGTGATCCCAGGGGATGTGAGTCCAGACATGGTCCTTGGTTCTAGGTGCCCCAGTGTTGTGTTCTGTGGAACATCACTGAGTCCTGTATCAGTAACTTCCAAAGGCCAAGACATTGGAGTCTGTGGTTGGAGCTCTCAGAACACTTCTAATAGGTTCTTCCAGATTGAAACTAAAGTGAAGAGTGTAAGGGTATCCCTCACTTGGTCAACTTATGTTCTTGGAAATACCATTTGATATTTAGATGGTCTCTTACTGTGATAAGAAATAGGCAATGTAGAGTCAGGAGTGTGCCAGTATTTTTCAGAGTGTCTTATGAACAAGGAAACTGAGCTCTCATTGCTGTTATTAAAAGAACTATAAAATATATTTAGAAGATGAATCACTCTGAAGTTGGGCAACATTATACTTGGGTAGCTTATACCAGAATGGAAGGCTCAGAGCTTGCAAATCATTCCTTCTCATAAGTAGAATGCATCTTTCTCAAGATGTGCTTTTGTCACCTATACCACCCTGAACCACATACGTAGGTGATGATGTCGAAAAACCTCTGAAAAGATGCAGACTTGGTTCAGAGACATTTTAACGTAGTGGAAAGAATGGAATTTGGAGTCAGGCAAACCTGGATTACTGCTGATGTACATAGCACCACCTTGGAGTCGTTGCAGCTTCTTTGGGTTCACTGTTTATATGTGTGTGTATAGTTATTTATTTTTAATTGGAGGATAATTGCTCTACGATATTGTATTGGTTTCTGCCATACATCAACATGAATCAGCCATAGGTTTAATTATGTCCCCTGCCTCATGAACCTCCCTCCCCCCCACCATTCCCCCCCTCTAGGTTGTCACAGAAGACCGGTTTTGTGTCATATAGCAAATTCCCACTGGCTATCTGTTTTACATATGGTAATCTTTGTGTTTCCATGCTATGCTCTCAATTCAACCCATCCTCTCTTTTTCCCACTGTGCCCAAAAGTCTGTTCTCTATGTCTGGGTTCACTGTTTTGAACAACCAGATTATGGTTGTGGTTTAGCATTGGGGATGAGTAGGGCTTTCAACACTTCCCTCTCTTGCCCCACTTCCCCAACTTTTAGTCTGATGTCACTCAAAAGATGGTGTGAGTGTTTAGACATGTAAGTGCAAGTAAGTTTAGGCCGGAATGAGATGCAGGATGAGTTTTAGCAGAGTCAAAATGACTCTGAAGTTTTACTGATGCCTTAGAAGTATCTATGGGCAGACTGAAGACAAAGGTAGCTTGCTAGAAAACCAGAACGTGCTTCTGAGTGTCTTAAATACACAAATTCTTTGGCCTAAACACATATAATTCTTCATGAAAGGACATATCAGTCATGCCTCTATTATGACTGATGCCAATAGGCAGGGAACTGAAGAGGATAAACACTTGCTGAGGTCACATCATTGTGAGTCTTCAAATACTCGGGGGATGAAGCATCAAACAAAGGACATGAGCCAAAATTCATTTTGTGAATAACTTTTTTCTTTAGAAAAAAAAAATATGTACAAAAAAAGCTCAGAAGAACCAACATGGAAGTGTTGAGAAAACATTCTGATAGATACAGACAAGGGAGCTCCTGCTCTCAAGTAAGTTACACATTAGTTATTACCATGCTAGAAAAATGAGATGCAGTTAAAATTCTAGAACAATTAAAAGCCCCAAAGTCAAGGTGTTGCTTTGGGGCTCTAGGTTGTAGATGCTCTGATACCCTCTCTGTAAAATAATACTGTGCAAACTGTAAAATATTCATTTTCATATAAATTCCATACAATATGATATACAAAACTGAGTTGACAGGGGATGCTGGTACCCGCTGGTTTTATTGGGAAAGAAGGCTGCAGTGTTTCCTGCCAACCCAAGGGCATGATTACAGAAATATCTTGAATTTTTTAACCAGGAGAGGTCATTATCTAAGGATCATACCAACATCCTCAAAACCAGAATTTCCTGCCATTGCTTGTGTAACTTAGGTGATTTTTTTCTTATTAATATGTTGCTTTAACTTGGGATGCAATCACATGTTAAGAAGTCAGAGTACAGAGTTCTTTTTCAAAGTAATACTTCTTTCTACACAACTGATTTTGAGATTTACCATTAATCAACATTGTTTACCCTGCAACTCAAAAGTTAAGTTTTTTTTTAAATCCAAAAATTCTGGAGGAGGCAGCAACTGTGATAATAAAAGATTAAAGTGAATTATTATATTTCATTTCAGTGTCTATAAAACTGATAAAAGAAGGTTTGTGTACAAATATCACAAAACAACATCAATCATTGAATAAATGTGGTTCTTCAATGCACACCTGAACAAGAAGAAAACTTTGTTTAAAATTCTGGCATAAATATATTAAAGCTGACCAAAAAAAAAAAAAAAAATCAGGGCAAGCTACATCACTTCCTCATACAAAAAATGTACAAAACATTAGCTTCTAACTAGATAAACATAATACTTGTCTTCACAGTTTGATATCAAGTAACTGTGTCTTGAAGTATCGAATTGGAGGGTGATTAAAAAAAAAAAACAGCTTGTGACAGGTCAGCCATTTCAGGTAACTTCGGTCATGGAGGCAGAGTGATTCTGCGAACATAAGCAGATACAATCTTAGCTGACTCATGTATACACTCTCACTTCCCTCAATATCCCCCTGATGTCCTGTCTCAAGTTCGCAGTCTGTTCCTGCTCCCTGACGTGTGTTTCCAAGGCCCCTCAACTTTTTACCTTTTCTATTAAACCTTCCCTGATTTTTTCAACCAAAATAAACTCATCTGTCTTGTATTATACTTAATTATATTCTATGAAGCATTTGAAGATCTCAAAGTAGTTTTAGCTGCATCCTACATTTTTTTTTTTTTAGTGTTGTGGTTTTAATTTTGAACATTTCTAATCTTTGAAAAATTTCTATATGATGTATTCTGAGCCATGAATTTTCAGAACAGTGAGTTTAATGTTTTCAAATGCATAGCGGTTTTGGTTTAAGGTATCTTTGACTTTCTGGAGAATGGCATCTGTGTGATCTATCAAATAGATTTTTTTTACACAAATTTTTTTAAATTATGAAAATATAACACTGAATGCTTTTAAAGTTTCTTGATTGGCTTTATAGTCTTACATGTAGTTTGTTTTAAATGTTTGTGTTTTGAGGATTATATATTGACTTAGATGAACCTTATTAACTTTTTACTATATTTTGTTTGCTTATTACTGAAGAAAGTGTTAAAATCTACGATTGCCGTTTTATCCACTTTTCCTTGTAGTTGTTATCTTTGTTTATGTGCTTTGTTCATAATAACCCTTATCTCTTGTTTTATATGACATTTATAATCCCACCTTTTTTCAGGCCCAAGGCTTTCTCTTTTGTTTGAACTTAAAATTCCCAGTTTATGGTACTGATAATACCTTAAGAAACGGTGGCTTTAGAGCTAATTGATTATTATGGGTTTCTAGATTCCTGTTTGTTTTTAGGACATTAGAGAGTCATGTTCTTGAGAGGGCAAATGTGAATTTTAGAAACTGAGTATTCCGTATTTCTCAAGGTACTTTTATCTACCATATTTGTGAAAACTGAGGTTTTTGCATTTCCTGCTATAATGTGAAAAACTTATGCTTTTGCTTTTATAGTATGCTTCCTTTAAAAAAAAACTTTCATCAATAGTTTGGTCATTTATATGTTTTTAAGATTTCATTTAAGAGTGAATGGTAAAGATAAAGTTGTTCAACAGCCTAAGATAACTAACTTGGTGACTTTATACAGATTTCTTTAACTCTCCAAGTCTTTTTTTTTTTCCCCCTCCTATTTATGATATGAAGTCTATAAGCATTAGAATTCCTGTGGGATGATTTTCTTACATGGTTTTTCACCCCAGAATGGCTGAATCAGAATCTCCTGGAATAAGGTCATAAGCATGTGGGTCCTGGGACAGAGTGGATCCTTTCGTTTTTACTGTTGTTAAAGAAAAATATAGCTCATCTCCCCCTTGCAAACATCAGGAGACACAAGAGACTTCATACCACACAGTGAGTTAACACATTGGCTCCTCTCTCATTTCTTTGTTAATATAAACTGTGTTCAACAAGAACACATTTGCTCAACATTAAGCTTGATTGCACAGGTGGAAATGGGCATGAGGCTGCAGGGCGAGGAGAGCTCGGAGCAGGTCTCCAGGATACAACTCTGTGGGGTCGCAAAACCACACTTTGGAAACTTGACCATTTTTGTTTCATTTGGATTCTACAGTTTCTGGTTTCTCTTTTGTCCTGAGGAAAGAGTTTAGAGAATGTCCTGTCTCAATCACAGAAGGCCAAGTATTTAAATTTGAGCTGATCGTTTAGAAGGGAAGAGAGAAGCAACCTGGGGCAGCCTGCAGCCCTGGGGCTCCGTGTGGCAAAGGAGAAAGTATGTCTCGGGGGCACGAAAGGGAGGGTGAGGGGTTCCCTCCCCAGCGAGGCAGTCTTCTCCTTGAGGTGCTCAGAATGGCGGGATGGATTTCTCATGTGAGAATGTGTGCTCTAAAGAGAGGTTCATGTCTTCTCTCAGAGCTCCAGGAGTCCTCCCCCTGGGAAGACCACTCTATCCCCAAAACTACAAAAGAGCAGCAGTTTCTAGTAGAAGCCATGGTGCTGCTGTCGCACAGGAAGCTTTGGCCCACAGGGGAGAACACACGGCCTGTTTGTTCTGGAAGAGCTGTGTTCAGGGTAAACTCTGCCGGGGCTGCGCACCTCAGCCCCCACACACTAGCGTGTCTCCATATTCAATGCTGAGAGCTGTAGATTTCAAAATGGAGTTTTCCTTAAACCTCAGGCTGTGTGGTGTAGAAAGCAAGCAGGGCCTTTAGAATTAGATGGGCCTGTGTCTTAATCTTTACTGAGTGACCTTCAGCGCATTACTTAAACTCTTTGTGCCTTACTTCATCTATGAAATAGAAGAAGGCCAATTGCAAGATTATGGTAAAGGTTGAATGTGAAAACTCGCACCATATGCTCATTTCCTTTTCTTGACCCACAAATAAAGGGTATGTCCTTCTAACCACCCACGTGGAAAGCAGATGCTTGGATAGTGCACAAATGGCATGGAAGGCATTGCTTAAGAGGCAGTACTTTCCATCTGGCTTCCTGTAGCTTCATTGTGACCAGCCTGCTGAAGTCCTGTTCATCATTACTCATAAACTGTTGACCATGGAGGTTCAGATATTGACTGTACTCCAATTTTGGGTTCTTGGTTTTGACTAAAGGGCCTAGTTCATATTTTGATTCTGGCTTGCATCTCTATTCATCTGACATTTATTTCACACCTAGTGAATGCCAGGAAATACGGAGAGTAAGAAGGACATGGTTCATAGGGTTTGTATCTTTAATCTCTCAGTTCCTGGGGGAGGCAGATCTGAGGGCACTCCTGACATGAACTGTGAGGGGCAAATACACATTGGGCCCCGAGGGTCCTTCAGCCGAAGCCTCGTATTCACAAAAGGCCTCAAACTGTGTGCAGATAAGGTGATACACATGGAAATAAAGACATGTGGACAGATTTCAAAAGTTCAGTTACTGCCTGTAGTGAATAATGACACATATATTTAAAGATTTTTAAAAACCTGTATTGTGGATTGGTCAGTTGTGTGGTCATGCCCTACTCTTTGCAACCCCATAGGTTGTAGCCCCCCAGGCTCCTCTGTGCATGGGATTCTCCAGGCAAGAATACTGGAGTGGGTTGCCATTTCCTTCTCAGGGGATCTTCCTGACCCACGGATTCAACTCATGTCTCTTACTTCTGCATTGGCAGGCAGATTCTTTACCACCACACCACCTGGAGGTCCCTATATCGCAAATATCGGGTTGTGAAACCCTTTATGGTACTACATTTTTCAATGCAAGCAGAATCCCCCAAAACATGGCCTGGGTGCCTCTTGGCTTAGTCAACTACTATGGGTCCTGAGGGAGGAGAGAAGTTGGGAGAAGGCTTCAGACAGAAGGTGACACTTGAGCAGTGCTGAGGTGGAAAGAAGGTGCTCTTAGACCAGGACATTCAGGGCAAGGTCAACAGCATTTACAACAACAGACTACGTGTTTGTGGAACTTGGCAAACATTTCAGCTTGCTTTTTAAATTCACCTTTGTCACTAGTTGCTTCATCTCAAAAAGAGAGGGAACCACTCTGACTTTGGACCTTCCTGGTGGTTTAGACAGTAAAGTGTCTACCTACAATGTGGGTAGAGCCAGGTTCAATCCCTGGGTTGGGAGGATCCCCTGGAGAAGGAAATGGCACCCCACTCCAGTACTCTTGCCTGGAACATCCCATGGATGGAGGAGCCTGGTAGGCTACAGTCCATGGGGTCACAAAGAGTCAGACACGACTGAGCAATTTCACTTCACTACTCTTGACTTCACTGGGTTTAAGAACATAGTTAGAAGAAAAACTAGGGTTTTTCATTATAAGGTTTCATTATTTAGCTAATTTGTCATTCAGCCTGCATTAACTGGCTGTATATAAATAAATCAGTGACAAAATTTTCAACACGTTATTTCTAATTAGACCAAGTCAAAATTTTCACCTTAATATAGGTGAAGGGAAAACAAAGCACTTGGCACTGGGTTTAATAGAGACTCCTAAATATTTTTTTCCCAAGGTGGAAATAGATTTTTTTCCTGGTTCATTAATAAAATTGGACTTCATTAAATGTGAAAAGAAATAGGATAGTTTCTCAGATGTCTGATAGTTAATAATCTTTAGTGAAATATTTTTTACTGTATTGATAGGAAGTATCTGATAAGTCCAGTGGGAGATTTACTTTCCTCTTGTACTCTATAAAGATGATTTAGTAAGGAGATGCCAAATACAATAAGACTTCAAGGTAAACAGACTATTACAGAAAACAAACATTTTAGCAGGACTCAGCTACATGAAAATAAAATCCCTGTTTTATTATTAGTTATCCCTGCTCTGTCTGCTCAAAGAACTATTCACCCCAACTCTTCCACTTGCTTGCTATGAGTCTTGGGTGAGTAATTTCATGTTGCTATCTTCATATTCCTCTCTGTGAAATGGGAATTACACTACCAATTCAGTAAGTTTTTGTTAAAAATATATATATATTTGTAAAGCACTTAGCAATTGTCTCAGGCAAAAGTCAGGCTTTATACCATGTATCAGGGCTCATTTTGGCTGGCACATCTTTGTCTTTTGCTGCCTTACAATAAATTTTTTCTTCATTTGTGTTCACAAAACACGTTGTGCATCTGATTCAGCATGCCATATTATGATTATTCATTTATATACAGGGCTTCCCAGGTGGCATAGTGGTAAAGAATCTACCTGCCAATGAAGGAGATGCCAGTTCTATCCCAAGGTAAGGAAGATCCCCTGGGGTAGGAAATGGTAACCCACTTCAGAATTCTTGCCTAGAGAATTCTGTGGACAGAGGAGCTTGGCGGGCTACAGTCTATGGGGTCACAAGGAGTCGGGCTCAACTGAGCATGCATACATTTATATACACCTTTCCTGATTATCTGTAAGTTACTTGAGCATAAAGACTGTGTGGCTAGTTGTCGTCTTTATCTCTGGCATGAAGCAAGGTCCTAAGGTAAACAAGGTCCTAATGTAAACACTAAGTACTGTTGCATTGAATTTTTGATGGTCATCAAAAGAGATCCAAGAGGATATTTAGTTACCTTTTTTAATGTGCTTCCAGTTTACATCTATCATGGAATGTAACAAAGCATTTCTTTCCAAGTGTTGCCCTACATACTAAATTGAATTGGCCTCCCACAAAAGTTGGTCTAAGTTTCACAAGTGTGTTATTACATTGAAGGTCAAGATATCCTAAAGCAGCTGGGGTTTAAGTTAGACATTACTAAGAACCTCCTGAGGATTCATGATGACCATGCCCTGAAAGGAATATGGGACTAATTGAGGGAAGCTGTGAAGTTTTTGAGGGCCTTTATGTCAGATTTTTATTGTGGGTTTTTTTTTTGTTTTTTGTTTTTGATGTGGACCATTTTTAGGGTCTTTATTGAATTTGTTTCAATATTGTTTCTGTTTTATGTTTTGGTATTTTTGGCCATGAGAGGCACGTGGGATCTTAGTTCCCTGACCAGGGATTGAACCCACACCTTCTGCATTGGAAGGCGAAGTCTTAACCACTGGATTGCCAGGGAAGTCCCCAGATTTTCATTGTCGCTGGGTGGATTCATCTGTGTCCTGTTTCCACTAGAGGAATGGTTAGCTGACTTCCCAGATAACGAGCCTGCAGCCTCCAGGTTCTGTCGGCTGAAACCACTGTACTGTACCTGTGCACTTAAGGTTTCCAGAGGGCTTTCTACCCTCGGGAAAGCCATGAGGGGTACTCCACGGGGGTCCTCGGGCTTGGGTTTGGAAGGCGATCCTTGTGTTCCTTTAAAGTTATGGACCACACACATTCCCTGCGGGATGAGGGGAAAAAAGATCAGGGTCAGACTGCAGCCATCAATGCCTGGCTATCGCTGTGGGTGGCCGGCCTGCCCCTGAGAATGTCATTGCACAGTGACCTTTGAGCCAATGGGTAGGGACCATGGAAAGACCTGGAGCATGGGCCAGACTGTCTACTGCTGAGCACATTTGGGGTGCTGAGGAAGCATCTGTTTGATCACCAGATGGCCAGGGATACTCAATCTACCCCCACTGAACTTGTTTCCTGACCTGTAAAAATGGGAATAACACCTCCCTTGTAGATTTACATTTAAAAGACATGACGAATGTAAACCATCTTATAGTAACAGCTAACATTTACTGAGGGCCACTTATGTATCTGGCATTGTCCGAAGGGTTTTACCTAATTTCATTTGACCATTTGACTACTCAACATTCTTATAAGGGAGGTACTGTTATCCTCTCCAATTTAGATAAGGAGGTACAGAGAATTTAGATAACTTTCCCAAGGCTACATAAACTCCATAGCCTCTAAATCAGTCCACTGTAGGATTTGGCTTCTTAAGTGCTGAGTGAAGTCGCTCAGTTGTATCTGACTCTTTGCCACCCCATGGACTGTAGCCCACCAGGCTCCTCCATCTGTGGAGTTTTCTAGGCAAGAATACTGGAGTGGGTTGCCATTTCCTTCTCCAGGGGATCTTCCTGACACAGGGATCGAACCCGGGTCTCCCACGTTGCAGGTAGAGGCTTTACCGTCTAAGCCACCAGGGAAGACCCTCAAAGGGGCTTTCATTGACATACTATTGATCCCTCTCTGAGTCATCTGTATTCTCTCCCCCTTTTAAGAAGCACCCTAAGGGAAATACCCTCTGAGAGATCAGTATCTCAGGATCACTTGGCACCACTTTTGCTGCCGCTTCACAGAGAATGTGCATTTAAGTCTCCCTGAAAAAGAATTTTGAATTCAAGTGGAGCTTGCCAGTTAGTGTTCTGAGTAAACGTGAGCATTTTCTGTGTATGTCTGAGCAGGTAAAAATGTTGGGGAACTCTGAGTTAGAAGTTGGGAGAGGCATATGTACCTTTTGCATGTTGGGGAGGACATGTATGCAGAATCCCTGTATGGAAGGGATAAGACAAGGAGAAGTTAGGTCACAGGCCTGTGAAATCCATCTACATGTGATGTTAGTCTTAATGTGTGGCTTGGACCAGAAAGGGCAGAATGGGAGGAAGTACAGCAGGCTGTGATGATTTCTGTCTGCTAGGAGAGGCTTGCTGAATGTTATTAGGAGACTGATTTCATCATGCACAGCATCTTTAAGCCTAGTGATTTACTGTAAACCCTTCTGGGTATATTTTAAATCCTTGAATATATATGCATGCACACATATATACATACATATATATTTATATAAATTTATTTTTGGCTGTGCTTGGGCTTCATTGCTGCTCAGGCTTTTCTCTAGTTGTGACAAGTGGGGGTACTCTTTAGTTGCGTTGTGCTGGCTTCTTACTGCAGTGGTTTATCTTGGTGCAGAGCACAGGTTGGGAAGCCCAGTCCTGGACTATATTTTTAAAAACTGTACTTCCATGGTATGTCCATGCAATGGAATATTATGTAGCAAGAGAAAGGAATTACTGATACAAGGTGGATGACTCACAAAATAATTATGCTGAATGAGGGAAGCCAGGAAAAAACATATATTGTATAATTCCATTAACATTAAATCTTACAGTAACCTAATACAGAAGATCAGTGGTTGCTTAAGAATGAGGGGGAGGGGAGGGTGGGAGAGAAAGAGGTATCTGAAGGTCAAAATTGATCACGTTATACAATTCGTGTACCGTTTTTTGTATGCCTAGCTTCCTTGGTGACTCAGATGGTTAAGAATCTGCCCACAATGCAGGAGACCCAGGTTCTATCCCTGGGTCAGGAAGATCCCCTGGAGAAAGAAATGGCAAGCCACTCCAGTATTCTTGTCTGGAGAATTCCATGGACAGAGGAGCCTGGTGGACCACAGTCCATGGGATTGAAAAGAGTTGGATATGACTGAGTGACTAGCACTTTATCATACCTCAAATCTATAAAAATTAACCAAAACCCTTCTTCAGGAAGTGTTATGTGGTTGAGAAGTCACTTATAGCAGAAATAAGATGCCCAGGAGGCATGTTCAGATAATAACAGAGGTCCCCTGGGTGCGATTAGCTGAGGGTTTCCTATTTCTGAGTGGGACTTGAAAATCTGGGCCAGAGTAGAGTTTCTTGAAATGCTGGAGAAGGAGCTACCTGCTTCCATCAATACTTTGTTCTCTGTTCTTCCCCCAAGCGGCACTTAGCTTATGCTGCCAGTCTCTAAGCAAGTATTTAAAGAATACTTTAAAGGATTGAAGGTACACTAAATTTTTGCTAGTCTGCCCAGCCTCAGCCCCAAGGACAGGGTGGGAAGCAGTGGAGCAAGCTATCCTTCCTGGAGTGATCATACTCCTGGCCCGCAGAGGGAGTATGCAGTCATACTTCTGAAAGCAAGGACGCAGGGTACTTGGTGAGTAACTGCAGCTCACAAGGTTGAGGCTGGTGGAACCTGGAACCTGGAACCCAAGACCGTGGAGTCTGGGGAGCCTGACTTACCAGGATCTTGGGCAATGTTTTAGAGAGCACCAGAGCGGAAAAAAAGTAGAGGAAGCTGACCTACCAGAAACAGGGCTACCGCAGTGCCCAGGATGAAGCCCGCGATCACGTCAGAGCAGTGGTTCCGATACTCGGAGACCCGGTTGAGGCCCGTCAGGAAGGCTGTGCAGAGGGTCCCGAGGCACAGCACTGGCTTGGCCAGTCGGCTGCTCTTCGTCTTGATTGTGCTTGTGATGTACATCTAGGTGAGGACAGGGATCGGGGGTGACCGGCAGCCTCCGCACACGGTGCGCATATACACGGACACACACCAACACACACAGACGGGCCCGCACCAAAGCATGAACGATGAATGAATGAACACTCATCTCAGTGCTTTATATTCTGGTGGGCGTGGGAACAGAATTACAATGACATGAATGACTGCATAATAATGAGGTCCAGAGCATGCAGTTTTTATGCTACAAACTGAAGAATCACTTGGAGTGTTAATAAACCCATATAAGAATCTCAGATGCCAGAAAATCTTCTATGAGGATTCATTTTATGGAGAAGACCAGGTAAGGGAGTAGCAATACATTTCATTTTTTGTGTCCCCCATAATCCTAGCTATTTCTTCACACTTTCAATGAATATAAAAGCATTGACTTCCAAACCAATGTGTAACAGATAGGTTTCAGTTGTGCTGGGAAATTGATTCTCACATTGCTTGGGATGGCTGTGATCAGTTCTCTTCATTCATTTACTTGAGCATGTTTTAAAATTTTCCATGTGGGTGTAAAAAATGTTGGGAAGACCTGATGTTAGTAAATGATATAATTTTTGACACGTGAGACATACTCTGTTTTTATTACATTGTGAGGAGCTGAGTAAGACTTAAATATTATTCAGGCTCGGTTACCAAATATGTCCCTGGTGACTTAGACTAAGCAAGATGTGCCTCTTTGAAACACACACTTTGTCACACAAACTTTGGTAATGGTTGTAAGAAACCACTAGAGGGCGCAATTCATCTATTGTCTCTGTCTTAGTCTCATTCTGCCCAACTCTGCAACCCCATGGACTGTAGCCCACCAGGCTCCTCTATCCATGGGATTCTCCAGGCAAGAATACTGGAGTGGGCTGCTATTCCTTTCTCCAGGGGACCTTCCTGACCCAGGGACCAAACCCGGATCTCCGGCAGTGCAGATTCTTTACCATCTGAACCACCAGGGAAACCTTAACAAGTGTGCTAAATGAGTTTGTGACTCAGAAAAATACTATGCCAATACTCAAGTTATAGTATAGTGTGCTTGTATGGCCTGAACACCTATAAGTTCAAATAGATGCATTTTAAAATATTTTAGTGGAAACTTAATTTCCTAGGATGATCCTTCAGCATTGGTGTGAATACAGGAAGATGGGATTTTCTCTATTATATGTAACACATATACTACAAAACTGTGGTTAGATCAGAGTTATATAAATTAAAGCATATCATCATACCATTCTGAGGCTGAGTAGGAAATGTTATTTAGCACATTATTGACCAAAGATGTATTAATATGTCTTTTGGTACCGAATGTTATTGACCAGAGACATAGTTGTTAGAGCTTAAAATTGATAGAGTTCATTACACAACTTATGATTATAATTACTATAACTTATAATATTTATCATGTTATGATAATTATCATTATCATTCACATTTTCCTCCATTCAATTTTTGTTCCAATGCTGTGTATATTATAAATGCAAGTTTATTGCTATAAAATTTTCAAAAATGATACATCATGAAATTTTGAGTGAAGAAGAATTTTATGCACATACTTTATCTGATTGTCTAAGCGGCATATATACTAATGTGTCAAAAGATGATAGTTCTTCAGAATATAGTTCTGATTCAGACAGTGTGAATATTAGACCAACAAAGAGACAAAAAAACCTTAGTGATCAATTCTGATATAGAAAGTGATAGATAAAACTCAAGGTGCTGGAGAAGACTTACAGGTGTGTCAAGTATAACTATTAAATGCAGTAACTCACCGAGTCTTAGTTAAATAACAATTAAATTTTGGCTGGCCAAAATAAAAATCACTGGCCATAGGTATTGGTTTTTGCAAAAATCCCCTAGCCAATAATGGGTTAAATTCTATATGTATATTTAAATTTAGTGTTTTATGCTTCTATATTGTTTTTAAATTATAGCCTTTATAAATCTTACAAGATTACAAACTATTAAAACATGGGCCTATGGTTTGTTAGTATTCTTCACAGCATTAACTAGTACTTAGGAAATCCTTGTTGAGTAATTTCTGAAAGCACATATAATAGGTGCTCATAAGATGTTTACATAATTGGAATCTTGTATCAGGGTTTATCTGATTATAGTCTGTCTGTGGGGCATGATTTGAATTGGATTATATCTGAATCCTTGAAAACATGTGCTCTACCAGCATATATTCTGAGTAAGATGACTATACTTCTTTCTTCTCAAGAGAAATTTATATTTCACTTGATGAGACAGTAGCTTAGGATGAGTAACAGATTGGTTTTTGTAACGGTGTTGTAAAAATTGATTTCATACAACAATGATTTATGTCTGATAAAAATACAGGAACGGGTGCAAGACCACATTGTTTCATATAACTTAGGTTCTAGATAAGTCCTAGATAATCTAGGATACCAATTGATACAATATTTTGAAAGCTGGAAATTATGCCAAATGCCTGAAAAGACCTTGTTTAAAAAATACCTGGCATAGATTTTTTTTTTAGTGGGTGGGGAAAAAGTGAGTCAAGAAACTTCAATGAGCTAAACTGGTCTGTTTTTAAATCAAGGCTGCTGTATTGTTTACATTCATGTTTCCTTAATGTGGGGGTAGCTGAAATCATTTTTGTCATGTGTTCATTAAAGAGTAAATCTAAAAGAAATAGATTTATTTTGGAAAGTTGATCCTATAGATGTGATTCTATAAATTGGACACAAAAGAACCATTGTTCTAAAGAGCCGATTCAGCAATTTCTTTTAAACTACACCAAATGGACCAGACCTGTAGTCAGTCACTTTTACTCCTCCCTGAATTTAGGACAATGTTTGGGATGATGGCATGGACATGTTTCCATCAGAAGCAGATGCAGTGGGCAGTGTGGTTACTGTCACTGGAGGGGAACGTGCTCCCGGGGACCGGGGTGAAGGTACATGGGGAGTTTCTAGGAAGACTGCAGAGCTTGAAAGGGGTCTTTGCTCTGCCTTCTCCCTACCTCACCTTTCACCCAAGAATCTCTAGCCTAGTAGTACCCTAAATATAAAGTAAGTTGAAGGAAGAGGGATGTTTTTAGCCAATAGTCACTCATCCACAGGTAAATACACATGATATCCATCAGTGGAACGTTTGTATTGATCTCTCTACTTCTACACATTCGGTTCTAAAGAAGCAGAGGTCAGGCAAAGGTGAAATGAGGTCATTTCTATGCATGCTCAGTCACTTTGGTCATGTCTGACCCTTTGTGACCTACAGACTGTAGCCTGCCAGGCTCCTCTGTCCATGGGATTCTCCAGGCAAGAATACTGGAGTGGGTTGCCATGCCCTCCTCCAGGGAAGCTTCCCAACCGAGGGATTGAACCCGTGTCTCTTACGTCTCCTTCAGTGGCAGGCGGGTTCTTTACCACTAGTGCCACCTGGGAAGCCCTAGGTCATTTCCAAAGTGGGGCGGAATTAAAGAGCAGGAAATATAGACGGACACCATTTCTTCCATTTTAAGTTGTTAGACACACTTCTGCGCTTTCTCTTTGAGGCCACAAAGTTTAGACTATTATACCCCAGTGGGGGCAGTCAAGAGATTTTGTGATCTAGAGAACAGTGAGAAGTGAACTGTTGGATTTTGGGGGTCTTGCAGGATTGCCCATCGGTCCTGGCAAAGTGTTGAAGAATGTTAGGAGGAGCAGAGGAAAGCCCTATCTTCATCTGGTATTGCACATTGCTTTGGGCAGGCATTTGCATGAGGCCTACATCTGCAATCTACAGACAAGCGTGAGGAATACATGTTGTTCTGGAACCAACCAGAGCTCTGGCACAGAGTGCTATTCTGGGCAGTGACAGAACCCTGTGCCCAGCGCCAGGAGCCTGGGCCTCTGCTCTGACTGTGTGCTCTTAACAATTCTCTGGGCCTCAGTTTCTGCGTCTGTAAAATGGGAGGATGTGACTAAGTGATCATCAACAGTCATGCCTGAATTAACATTCTGTGGCAGGTCTTACATTGGGGTATTGAGGGTGGGGGCATGATATAATGGAGGAGAAGCACACTGTAACATGACTTCAAAAGTCACCAGAAGTGACTGCAATGAAAGAAGCAATGAAAAAGGCAGGGGGGCGGTGTGGTGGGTGAGGATGGCAGAGACACCTGTTGCAGCCAAAACTCCACTTGGGTCATACTCACCGTAGCGTACAGGGCAGAGTAAATGCTCAGAGCCGCATGTTTGGAGGGAAAGGACCTCCGCGCCTTCTCTATCACTTCCAGGTCCCCGGTGCAGATGTTCCCGTTGTTGATGAACTGGTGGTGTGCCCGGCAGTCTGTACTGGTGTAGTTGGGCTTGCACACCGTCAGGAAATACGGGGTCAGGTGCCCCGTGACCACTTGTCCGGCGTTTACAAAAATATCAGTAGCAAAAAGCCCAAAAGCAAATACTCCTATGATGAGATTTAAAGCAATTAGGAATGGTGACATACACCATAAATTGGTTTTTGTCCCTGAGAGTAAAAGAGCAGTGTGAGCTCGTGACAACCTATCAGAAAGGTCCTCCCTGGAGTCAAACTGTCCCCTCACCTTTCTCTTTCCTGCTTCCTAAACCACTGTTTCTTCCAAATTGATGCAGTCACGCTGCTGGTAGTGCTTTACTGTTTTGCATCAATAAAGTAGAAGCAGCATGTTCTCATAGGAGGAATTTGAATTTTGGAGTCACGTAGAGCTGGGCTCTAGGCACTGTTTTGTTGACTTGTTCACAGTGTAGGCTATCTTCTTTGAATCTTAGTACCCTTATCACAGCGTGGTTGCAGGGAATGATACCTCAGAAAAGAGTTGGAAAGATAAAACGTGTGCAAAATAACCCCTAGGGTGCCTGACATTAAGTATTGGGTTGGCCAAAAAGTTTGAAAGGTGTTACGGAAAAACATGAGCTGACATTTTGGTCAACTCAGTAGTTACTCAACATGGGTTCTCTTGCCTTCTGTAGAATATATCTTCTCCCTGGTCCTGTTGGAGATGTGAGTATTCCTCAAAGGAGTTATCATGGCAGGTGAGAGAGAATGAGCATGTTAGGAGTCGTCCTTCAAAGAAAGAAAGAGATCGCTTTAGAAACCCTGATTGAATTGAATGTCTCATTTGATGTTGGAAACAGAAAAGGAGAATGTTGTTGACTGTATCGAATTACCAACTGAGTGGTTAAACCACCATGAATGCATCCTTTTACAGTTCTGGAGGTCAGAAATCCAAAATAGGTTTCACTGGGCTAACATCAAAGTGTTGGCAGGGCTGTGTTCTTTCTGGAAGATCCAGAGCAGAACTTTTTCCTTGCTTTTCCCAGATTCTCACCTTTATTCCTTGACTTATGCCCCTGCTTCTAGCAATTGTATCATAAGAGCTCTATTGCCATTGTCACGTCTCCTTCCCTGACTCACTATCTTGCTTCTCTTATAATGTTATATTGGTTACATTGTGTCTTTCCGAATAATCCAGGATAATCTCAAAATCCTTAATCTGATCACACATGTACATTCCTGTTTGTCATGTAAGGTAACATGCCCACAGTTTCCAGGGATTAGGACATAAACATTTTGGGGTGAGAAAGGCATCATTTTACCTACCATGCTGACTTGATCTGTTTGGCTAAGAATCCTGTGGGTAGGCTATACTTCCTGGATTTTATCTGTTCTCTGGTAAATTCCACAGGAATATAGGATTGCTGACTAGCTTGGACAAAAATATGAATTCCTTATAGGAAGTTGTACTGTGGATTCTTTCAAAGGTTATGAATACATCTATAGAGTATCTGTTAAATGTATCAAGAGCAGCTGTGGAGAGCCAGAGTATACACAGGTTGCTTGAAGAGATAAAGACGACTTTGCCAGTGCATCTCAGCTGTGGGAGGAATTGGCAAGAGTGAGAGGCAGCATTGACCCTTGTAAATTTCAAGGATCTGCTATAGGTTTTGATTAAATTTCTATCCAATTTTGACTTCCATTTTCAATGTCTTGAATCTGCAAATTGTGCTGATTTCAGCACCCAAAAGTCAATCCATTAGATCAGAAGTGAAGACAAGTTTGGCTGAAACCTTCATCCGGTTTCCATTTTGACTTGTATTGATTCTTATAATTTTCTTTTCTGTGGCTTTGCCAGGATGTGCTTTATCACAATGAGAACTGGCTCTTTTAATAGCTTCAGCTGACTGACACTCCTGGGTCTGACCTCTGAGACTAAGCATTCATTGATCATTCCTTTCACTCCCAGGTTCTGGCTAGCAATTTTTTTTATATCTTCAAGATTCTCAAAGACCAGGTCTCTAGCCTTTTCAAGGGGCAATAAGTCTGTCTAGACATACTTTTCCAGGAAACGAGGATAATTCATGATTTGAAAAGAGAAAAGTGACAGCACTTTTCCCCGGCATTTTATTTGTTGGAGTGCTTCCAATTAGGGTGAATTCTTTCCGAGACATTTCTGAGGATTTCTAGGTTCCTCAGATGAGTATCTGAAGTACCAGGTCTGTGGTCGCAGTGGGCCTGTGATGGGCAAATTTCTGCTTTGTTGTCGTGTGATACTGTTGTTGAAAGTTGCTTTCCCTTTTTCCCCTGGCCTCCCCTGGATTATGTCTGCTTCTCCTGATGGCTTAACAAGCATTTGCTTTCCAAACATCTCATTCTGGTGTATTTGATGTAGCTTCAGAAGGGCAGCCCCAGGACTCCACCTGCCTGGCACAGGCCATGCCAACAAAGTGCGGTGGAGCCTACCCTGGTGATTCACAGACAATGTCAGATCATGCAGGGCTTTTGTAAGGCATTCCAGGCGTTCCTCTGTTAATCCTGAGCTTCTTGTGTGTATGTTACAAGCCTCAGAAGCTAAAAAGTGTTGGTTTTGTCCTTAGAGTCAGATGGAACACTGTTTATGGACTCCTCTACGGCAATATATGATTTGAAGGAGATGCTTTTGAAGTATCCTACCTTGGTGTCTAAAATTCTCTAAGTGTGATAATCTTTTTAAAGTTTAACAGATACATTTTTCATTCCTATGACCCTCCTTAGCTGGTTCTGTTGATACTTATTAGCTTATGGCTCTGCTCCCAACGGTATTCCTTGCTTCAGGGGAGCTAATCACACTTCTTTTTTTTTTTTTCAAAAAATATTTTTATTTATTTATTTGGCTACTCCAGGTCTCAGCTGTGGCATGTGAGGTCTTTGGTTGTGGCATGTGAGATCTAATTCCCTAAATAGGGTGCCCTGTATTAGGAGTGCTGAGTCTTAGCAACTGGACCACCAGGGAAGTCCTTGATCACATTGCTGAATGGATTTACAGCCGACACAGAAGTCTAAAAGTAACACTCTCTTAGCTTGCCAGAGTTATATGCTTGAGACAGGTACTGTTTCGTTTGGAATTCTGAAACGAATTGGATGGGAAAACCAAGAGCCATGGTCTGGAGGACAAGACCATTGAATTTCTAAAATAAACCCTGGAATGGGGAGATGTGGGAAGGATGCCTCCCAAGGAGGAGCTAGAAACTTACCTAGTCTGGATGAAGGAGTGAAGGGGTTGCCCCCTTCCCTGACCATGCTGGCTGTCAAACCCCAGAGGCAGGGCAACAGAAACCTCCAGAATGGTTTTTGAAAATCAAGTTGAAGTCTGTCCTGTGCCTTCCAGGGTGTAGCTCAGGAACCCTGCACACCATTCAGAGAAGCCCCACACCTCCCTGGTACAGAGCTATGGGTGCCTGTGTTAGCAGTGATGGATGAGGGTCAAATTGGTTGAGCCCTAGGGTACCCACAGGATCCATACATTCTGGTGTAGAATGGGGTGGGCACTTGTGAAGCCATCAGGGCTGAGGGGCATTAGAATGCTCAGAGGACCAGGAGGTAGAAGCAGCCTGGCTTTAGGACAGAGACTGGCATCGTTGGTGAGGTCTGTGGTCCCTGTTTTGATGACATGGATCACCATGGTAACCTGAGCTTGCTGCCACTTTGTGGCCTAAAAGAATCTGACACCCATCAGGCAAGTCAAAGGATGAAGAAAGAGGAAGATGAAAGTGTTAAAAATCCTTTCTCCTCCCTCTCAGGGTTTTACCTGGATTCTTTGGACAAATTAGGATCTTTGGTAAATGAGGACACAGAGGTGAAACTCTGTGACCCGCTTCTTGTCATGCGATGAGTTCAGGGTTCCATCCTTTTATTCAGCTGAGAAGGTTGTAGGGGGAGCAGTGACGTAAGCAGGAAACATGCATGACAAAGATAACAAAGATCTTCTGATCTTCTTGGCCACATGTAACTGGGGTGCTGGCGAATGCTAACAGGGCTCCTATCAGGATGTCTTTTTGCCTCACAAACAAAGAACTGGTCAAAATACAGAAATCAGACTGCTCGCTGCTGAGAAAGACACACAGGAGGCCTTCATTAGGAAGCCTAGACCCAGACCACAGAGTAATAATTAGCAGAGGCTGATGGGGTGAGAAAAGGAAGGAATATTTCCTTTTAGCCACAAAGAACCTGTGACCCGGAGGTGGAGCCTCTGAACTGAAGGCCAATTATTCTATATTAAATTGCAAGTGTGCGATTTTCCAGTTTAAAATGGCACTTTGCTGACAGACTCTAACAGAACACTTCTCAACTAAAATATACATGATGACAGTGGAAAAAAGATGGAAATTCAGAGTGCCAACTCAAAGGGATAATCAGGATTTCTGTGTCTCTCCCTTTCTCACATGTGCACACACACACACAAGGTTTTATCTCATGAAAAACCCCAGCTTCTCTCTGAAGATCCATCATGGGAGAAAACCTAGGGAGATTCCCTTTCTCTCTTGTCTGCCCCCTACTCGGAGATCTGGGATTTAGATTGCTCAGAAAACAGGGATGCTGTCACTCCACTGGATGAGTTCTGCTCTGTGACTTTGCCAGGGACGAGTTCCTTTCCCCCCTTGTTCTGCTAAATGTATTTAGAGACACGCTCCGGGACAACAGCTAGGCAGGCAGTGGCAGGGGCCCTGGTGCTGGCATCTTGCTTGTGAGTGGTTTAGACCTGCATGCAGTAGAGAGCAGCATGTGCTGGGCGCCATAGCTTTGCGTGCACTGCATTGTCATGGCACTGGGGGGTAGGAGGAGATGCCAGTTCCGTGGAGCTGAGGCGCTCCAGTAGGAAACCTGGTGATTTGGAATTGGACTCAGTGCTGTGCGTGCCAACCTGCTCTCAGGCGTAAGCTCTGAAGGTTGGACTGGGAGCAAGTCATTCTGTTCTTTCTGTTGAGGAAAACAGAATGTATAGATCTTGCCCCACCTAAAACTGAAGAGGCAGAAATAATCACATATCACATGGGATCTTGGGGAAAAAGCTACTCTTATTTTTTTTACCTTGTATGATCAATTTATATGAAGTGCCTAAAACAGGCAAATCCACAGATAGCAGAATAGTGAACATCAGGGTCTGGGGAGAA